GGTCAATGTGGAGTTAATAAGGTCGTGGATGATGGATCCACTGATTTGGGTGGACCTATTGATGTTTGTCCTATAATTGGTTCAGGTACATCTGTGGGGGTTCTTACGTCTGCTCAATTTGTTGATGTGCTGGTGCACTAATTTCCAATGTTGCATTGCAAGCTCAATTGGGCAAGTTTACAGATTGCTCTGTGGACCACTTGGATTGGTTGGATGTTTCCCCTGTTAGTACGGATCAAGCTTTCTTTGTTGACTCGTTTGGTAGTCTTCATGAAGCTTTTTAAGTTGCAGGTGGATCCACTTTTGGGAAATGACTTTTCCTTGGTTGGGGGAAATCGTCATCGCAGGAAATCCAAATAAGTTTTTAGCCTTTCCTTTTGTTTGGATGATGTGGTTGATTAGTTGTATGGTTCTTTGGATTTGGATTTGCGACTCTTTTTTGTTGGCTTTGTTGGTGGGGCTGAGATTTTTAGCCCGAGCAATGATGAGGTGAACCTGTTATCCATCTGATCGTATGACTTGTTAGCAACCACTGCATGTGGGTTCTTGCTGCTCTTTGTGCATGATTCGGCTGTTTGGTTTTTCTGGCTTGTAACTTTCCTTATGGATGGCCTGGTCTACCGTTTAGATGATCGCAACGTTTCAGCACTAACTGAGCCCGAATTCGATGATTCCGCACTTTTTGGTTTTTTGTTCCACTGTAGTTTTTTTTCCTTTAGCTGATGTTCACTTAATCCTCTTTGGATGGTTGTATCTTTCCTTCATGAAATAAATTATCTAGTTTAATTTATTATTATATATATATATAAATATATTAAGATATAAAATTTAAAATTAGATTAACAATTAAAGGCACCTAATAATTTTGGGATTCATATTGTCGATCCCCCTAGTGGAAAAAGGTTTGATGTTATTTGTTTATATTAATTTAATAAAAAATTAACTTGTTTAAAATTATATTTAAATTGATTTGAAATTTGAAAATATTTCAAATTGATTTTTTAGTAATCAATGATAACAATTTTAAAAAAATGCGCGCATGGTATGTTGATTAAGGGGTTGTTTGATTCGTTGCATTTAGTTTGTTATAGTATTCCAAGCACAGTGGTCTTGAAAATATTGATATTTAGTTTGAATTAAAATGAATGTATTGTGTAAAAGGCGTATATTATAAATACACAAGCCATTGCATTTTTTATTTATTTGAAATTCCTCAAAATTTGACAATTTTCAAATAGAATGCAAATGCATCACCATTGCCACGGCTTCTCGATCACTGCTGGCCTCCGCTATCAGCCGCCGTCGCCCTTCCTCTGCTGGTCACTGACCTCCCGCCACCACTATGGTTTCCGCCCTCCACCACCAGTTGTCAGCTACCGGCCACAATTTTTTTGTATTTTACATTGCATTCACTTTACTTCAAATCAAACAAAAATAATAATAATAATAATAATAATAATGAAGTCATGCATTCCATTTTCATTCATCTAAATAACTTCAAAGTATTCTTTTTACATTATATCTCTTTTTAAGACAACTAAGCAACCCCTAAGTATAAAAATTAAGTATAGGTGACAAACTATTGATTTCGCAATTTTAATTTCATTAAATTATTTTCATCCCCTAAAGAAATAATAAACGATTATATTTAAAAAAAAAAATCTATTTTAAAATAGAACTTTCTCCTCTTTTTTGTCACTTAGCATACATAAATGATTTATGAAAGCAAGATAACTAAATAATATAATAGATAATAATCACTAAATAATTAACAAAATTATTAGCACCCTTATAATACTTAGGAGTAATCAATTTAGCTTCAATTACATAATAATTTATTTATAGAACTATGTTAGCACTATATTTTTATTTTTTTTACTTACAAACATAAATTTATAGAAACAAACTAATTATTAATTCAATTTATTTACATTAACATATAAAATATTCCAACTAAAATTGTATAATTTAGTTACAGAAAAATCTCAAATAATGCACAGATTATTCATGTGTGTCTAATTTAATCATGAGTATCACGTGGCTCTAATTTAGTCCATCGACTATTCAAATTTGATCTAAAATGATATCTCATATTATAATTGCGATGTAAATATTATCTCAATTTTGTCCTTAGCTATACAAAATTGATCTCAAATGACCCCTTTCCATTTATATAGTGGAGGTACTAAATTGAAATAAAGCGATACGCCGGGAAAAAATTCATCATATACGAATAATCGGAGGACTATTTTAACCGTCCATCATAGATTTGTTTAAATAAAATATTTAATACATTGCTAACTTTAAATTAAGATTTATCAATTTAATTTAGGGGGATTTACATACATACCACTTTAAATCATGTTATTCTCATATCTAACAAACAAAACATTAATATTTTATGCCTGCCACACATATATCAAATATAGGTTAAAAAAATGAAATATTAAAATTTATAGGGAGGTATGAGCGATAAGAATAAAATATATAAGTGACATTTTATATTAAAATTATTTATAGATGATAGACATGAAATATTAAATATGTAAATAATATGATATAAAATTGTATGTATGTAAATCCTAAAATGCCCCTTTAATTTTTATTACGTCCTCTGACCGGACGAAGCTCTACGTTCGGTCAGAGGATTGTTACTCGATTTTTGCTCGGTATTTGGTCGGTATTGCTAGGTATTATTTGGTAATAACGAGGAATACCGCTCTGTAAAGATCAATACCGAGCAATATTAAACTCGGTATTTTTTGGGATTATTAGGGAATTGCTCGGTATGCTCGGTATTTTGTCTTCACATAATTGTATTTCTCGTTATTGTTGGCATTGCTCGATATTTGCTCGGTATTTCTCGTTTTGTGCCTGCCATCTTAGTGCTGGCCGAACGTAGCTCTACGTATGTTCACCGGACGTAATAAAAGTTCCTCTCTCATTGTAATATCGCCAATTAAAGGTAATTTAAGGCAGCAATAATCTGACATGGCACGCAGTGCATATATCCACCTATGGATTACACTAATAAACGGTCCTGATGAATCGCTGCATGCATTTTGGCCCCACCAAGAAATGGCTATCAGATCAAGCTCTCTCATATCCCTTCTCAAATTTGAACCGCTTCATAAATTGACCGTTGTAATCAAATCTTATCCGCTAGATCCAATCTCCTCTCCAGATCGGCTTAAGCACTTTTGAAGAGTTTTTGACCGTTGGAGCTTTGAAACTGTCCCTTCTCCCGTCTCCATCGAAACTTTAATAACGGCTGTCCAATTAGTGAAATGTAGCCGTTTAAAACTTCAAATTGTATGTTCTTCTCCCTCCCTCCCTCACTCCTCATCATCTTTCCATCGCCAAGAAACCCTCCATTCTACCCTCATCCACCGAATTCCTAGTTCGGTTTTGGCTTCACAGCTCTCTCTTGATAACAATGGCGACTCAGAGGTCTTCTTCTCTTGCATCTCCGGTGAGCATAGCCATCTCCTCCGGTGGCAAGGGCGAAGGAGTTACCCATCGCAGAAGTATGGGGCCAAGCAGCCCGGCCCCTGGCCGGTCTTTCTCCACCACCAACCCCACCTCCCCAATTTCCAGCCGGCTTTCCAGTGGCGGAGGAAGAAGGTACAGCACCGCTGAGGAAACTGAGAGCACAGAATTCGTCCGCTACACCGTCCAAATCCCGGCAACCCCCGACCACCATCTCTCCTCGGCTGCGCCGGAGTTCCAAGAACGAAGCTACATTTCCGGCACCCTCTTCACCGGAGGCTTCAATTGCGTCACGCGCGGCCATGTCATTACTTCTTCCGCAGACAGCCCACCAGTTCTCAGCCATGCCGGAGTACTCTGCCGGATGAATGGCTGTGACGGCGAGCCTTTCTTGAACAGATCAAAGGAACCCCCTTGCGAGTGTGGGTTCTTGATCTGTAAAGATTGCTACTTGGAATGCATTGCTAATGGGGGAAAGTGCCCTGGGTGTAAAGAGCTGTATAGGGTGAGCGAAGAGGAGGATTCAGAGTCGGAAGCAGAAGAAGGAGGTCTTCCATTGACGTCCATGGCGGATTTCGGCATCGACCGGAGAATGTCGATGATGAAGTCAGTGAAGGGGCCAGCAGATTTTGACCATAATCGCTGGCTGTTTGAGACGAAAGGGACTTATGGGTATGGGAATGCGGTGTGGCCGAAAGATGGGAATGGAGGTGGAGGTGGTGGAGTAGCAGGAGGAGGTTTTAAGGGATTTGATGAGCCACCAAACTTCAGTGCGAAGAACAGGAGGCCGCTCACGAGGAAGGTTGGGGTTTCTCAGGCCATCATCAGCCCATACAGGTGAAAGTTTTCTCTTATTTAGGCTACTTAGTTTTTTTTTTTAAGCATTTGTTTGTTTAGATCTAACATTTTCAAATAGTTTTAACCGTTGTTGAATGGAGTTAGATGAAGGCTTTTGAGGGCCCAAAAATATGATAAGACTTTTCAATTCTCTTTTAGGTTGTTTGATCTTATTCACTTTTTCTCTGTTAAGCTTGAATGTCCCGTTCTAGAATCAGGATTTTAATCTTCTTGGTAAAATTTTAGTTTTTTTTTCTTAGAAATTTACGATTTTGTCCATTACGGTTTGTTATTTTTACTAATTTTTTTTAAAAAATAAAAATAAATTTTTATGTACCTTTAGAGGCTGTTTGGGATTTGAGCGAAATGCAGCCAAACGGCTTAAAATGCAAAACCAAATCTCACGGCAAATGAAAACCACCGTAGACAGAAAATTCTACCTTTTCGTGCTAAATCCCGGATTTCTGAAATCCATTGACTCAAGAGGAAGAGTTCACTTGTAAATCCACTCTATAGTCAAACACTCACAAGATTTAATGAAATTTATCCTGAACGTTACCAAACAGTTTTCAGGATTTAGGTCCCTTAGGATTTTTGAAATTCAAATTTAGAAGATTTATGAAATTCTACTTAAATCAAATCATGTATGCTATCAAACAGCCCCTTATATAATTTAGATATATAAATAAGACTATAGAATGATATGTATCTAATCTCCCATAAATTAATTATCCAACTGCTTAAAACAAATTGAATTTTATTGTGATATACTTTTCAATATTTTCTTTTGACGATATTAAGAAATTGATTGCAAATTATGTAACTGAAGTAAATGATTGACCTGCAATGCTTTGATTTCAGATTGCTTATTGTGATCCGCCTGGTAGCCCTGGGCTTCTTCCTCGCATGGCGAATTCGCCACCCAAACCACGAAGCAATCTGGCTCTGGGCCATGTCCGTCACCTGCGAACTCTGGTTCGCTTTCTCATGGCTCCTCGACCAGCTCCCCAAGCTCTGCCCCGTAAACAGGGCCACTGACCTCACCGTCCTCAAAGAAATATTTGAATCGCCGAGCCTCCGCAACCCCAAAGGAAGATCTGATCTTCCAGGCATCGATGTCTTCGTCTCCACCGCAGATTCTGAGAAAGAACCCCCATTAGTCACTGCAAATACTATTCTCTCCATCCTCGCCGTCAATTACCCCGTCGAGAAGCTGGCCTGCTATCTCTCCGACGATGGCGGCTCCCTCCTCACTTTCGAAGCACTTGCAGAAACTGCAAGCTTTGCGAAAGTTTGGGTTCCCTTTTGCAGAAAGCATGAGATCGAGCCGAGGAATCCAGAAGCCTATTTCAGCCAGACGAGAGACTTTCTCAAGAACAAAGTACGCCATGATTTTGTCAGGGAGAGGAGGAGAGTGAAGAGGGAGTATGATGAGTTCAAGGTCAGAATCAATTCTCTTACAGAGTCTATAAGGCGGAGATCTGATGCCTATAATGCTCACGAGGAGCTGCGGGCGAAGAAGAAGCAAGATGAGATGGGAGTAAGTCTCTCTGAGCCAGTTAAAGTCCCTAAAGCTACTTGGATGAGCGATGGATCTCACTGGCCTGGAACTTGGTCATCGGCAGAAAACGAACATTCAAGAGGCGATCATGCCGGAATCATTCAGGTTTGTGTAAACGCAACTCGTTTCCTACGATTTGCAACATAAAAAACTCACCTTTTTTGGGATTTGTTCACAGGCAATGCTTGCTCCGCCGAACTCCGAACCAGTGATGGGCACCGAGGCGAATGAAAATGGCCTCATAATAAACACCACAACTGTCGATATCCGTCTACCAATGTTGGTCTACGTTTCGAGGGAGAAGAGACCGGGCTATGATCATAATAAAAAGGCTGGAGCCATGAATGCTCTGGTTCGAACCAGCGCGATCATGTCTAACGGTCCATTCATCTTAAACTTAGACTGTGATCACTACGTTTACAACTCCCAGGCTTTGAGAGAAGGAATGTGTTTCATGGTCGACAGCGGTGGCGATCGTGTTTGCTTTGTTCAGTTTCCTCAGAGGTTTGAAGGAATCGACCCTAATGACAGATACGCAAATCATAATTTGGTGTTCTTTGATGTGACTATGAGAGCCATGGATGGCTTGCAAGGTCCTATGTATGTTGGCACTGGCTGTATATTTCGTCGTACAGCGCTTTATGGCTTTAATCCTCCTCGAGCCACAGAGCACCGTGGATGGCTGGGGAGAAGAAAGATTAAGCTTTTTCTGAGAAAACCAACCATGGGGAAGAAGAATGACCGGATTGTTGAAGCTGAGAATAATGAAGAAGAAGAAGATAATGACATTGAATCCTCATCTCTTCTGCCGAAGAAGTTTGGCAATTCGGCGATTCTTGCAGCGTCAATTCCAGTAGCAGAGTATCAGGGGAGGCTGCTTCAAGACTTGTCTGGAGTCCATCAGGGTAGGCCAGCGGGCTCCCTCGCAGTGCCTCGTGAACCACTCGACGCCTCCACAGTTGCAGAGGCCATCTCTGTGATCTCCTGCTTTTACGAAGAAAAAACTGAGTGGGGAAGACGAGTAGGATGGATTTATGGATCTGTGACAGAGGATGTTGTCACTGGTTACAGAATGCATAACAGAGGATGGAGATCAGTGTACTGTGTCACTAAAAAAGATGCATTCAGAGGAACGGCACCCATTAACCTCACTGACAGATTACACCAGGTTCTACGCTGGGCTACTGGCTCGGTTGAGATCTTCTTCTCAAGGAACAATGCACTGTTTGCATCCAGGAGGATGAAGCTCCTTCAAAGGGTAGCCTACTTCAATGCAGGAATGTATCCATTCACTTCAATTTTTCTGCTCGTATACTGTATTCTTCCTGCAGTATCACTCTTCTCAGGGCAGTTCATTGTCCAGTCATTGAATGTTGCTTTCCTCATATTTCTCTTGTTGATCACCATTACTCTCTGCCTGCTTGCTCTGCTAGAGATCAAGTGGTCAGGGATCACACTACATGAATGGTGGCGAAACGAGCAGTTCTGGGTGATTGGAGGGACCAGCGCTCACCCTGCAGCTGTGCTTCAAGGGCTTCTGAAGGTGATTGCAGGAGTTGATATATCCTTTACTCTGACGTCGAAGCCCGCGAATGATGAAAACGAAGATGAGTTTGCAGAGTTGTACATGGTGAAGTGGAGCTTCTTAATGGTGCCGCCAATCACGATCATGATGGTGAACATGATCGCCATGGCAGTGGGGTTTGTGAGGACGGTTTACAGTGAGTTTCCTCGGTGGAGTAAGCTACTTGGGGGATCTTTCTTTAGTTTCTGGGTTCTCTGTCATCTGTATCCCTTTGCTAAGGGGTTGATGGGGAGGAGGGGGAAGATGCCTACAATTGTTTTCGTCTGGTCGGGGCTGATTTCAATTGTGCTCTCACTTATGTGGGTTTATATCAGCCCTCCAGCAGGAGGAAGTCAGTACATGAACTTTTAGTTTCTTTGAAGAATGAAGAGCAGCAGCAGAACTCTTTGTTTTCTTCTTCTTTTTTTGTTTCTGGTTTACACTAAGTCTGATTCATGTAATGAATGACTCTAGTTTATATGAGATTGTGGTTTGTACTAAGAAGCAGTAATTTGAATGAATAGATTTTCGTTGGCACAAAATGGTTGTGATGCGTTCAAAAATAAACTTTAGAAAAGCAAGAAACTTTAAACAGGCTCTCAAAGCTACTTGATTTTTTGTAATGAAGTTTACAAGAATGACAATCCTACCAAGTATATACAACTTGAGTTAACATAGATGAGACTGATAATGGATTAGTAGGATGTGAGTTATAAGGTTAGAAATTTATCTGTGTAGGATAAGTTGCCTCAATCACCTAACGAGATAACAACAAAAACATCGTCAAGGGACCATTTTCTCCGCTCCATCTTCTCAGGAGGATTTATTATTGCTCGGTCTGCATTGGCTAGACGGTAACCAATTACTATCTCCTGCCTCTCTCGACCCCTGACCATAATCTCGTAGAAACAGAGCTCTTCTTGCTCATATAGATAATATTCTGCTGGACGAATACAAAGCTCATTTCCCTGCAAAAAAAAAGAAGTTTTCATTAAAGAAGATTTTAAGTTCCATAGTTGAGACAATCACAAGAGAGATTGTCCAATCATAGGTTTGGATAAGATTTTCCAATCTCAAAAAGGAAGGTTTGAAATATATGAAGCTCAATCCGAGAAATGCTATCTCCAAAGACAATTCAAAAAATTCAGGAGCCTACAAGAAACCTTGTCAGCCTTAGTTGCTTCATATCATGCTCGAGAGAAAATAATAAGTGTGTTCATTCAAAGCTCTCCGGAAGTAAAACTAGTTTCTGTTATGACAATTATGAGTAGAATCCTTACCAGAATTAAAATTCTAACTCACCTATACTACCTACCTTAGATGCCCAAAAGCTGGGGAGGATATACCGCCGATCTTATGCAATCTCAATCATCAAAGTGTTTTTGATAGAAATATAAAACACTAGCGTGATAGTGCTGCATCGACAAAAAATATTACTTAAGTGACATTTCTCAATAAGTATATCTCAAGAATTCATCTCAAAAGATCTTTTCAATAAGTCCTTCTCAGGTGATCTTCTACGTAAATCTTCTTGAGAAGTCCTCTCAACAGTCCTTTTTTTTTTTCCTGGAAATCTTCATAGAGGAGCCAACTCGAATCCTAAAAATCCTCTCAGCAAGCATGATTTTCTCACTTAGGAGTACATTCTGTGAGCTTTAAAACTTCCTTAGCATGCCTCTTGCAAAAATCTCAGAAGGCATTTATGACAATAACGAAAAATATTTGATGAATTTAGCAAATTATAAAGCACGTTCAATGTAGTGCACAGCTACCGACATGAAGTAGCAAACATGTGATGTAAGCACACTAGTTAGAAAAGCCAAAACAAGGAGAACAATGGGCAGAACTAAACCAAAGTCAATTCAAATAGTAGCAATCTATAACATCCAAAATCTGACGAAAAAAAAAAACTATAAGAAAAGTCAAAAGAAATAAAGAAAATAATAAAAAATACACTAAGTGAGATTGTGGAGTTCATGCATCGAAATGTAGGTTAAAGTAAAATAGTGCTTAGGGCTAGCAAACCGATGATCCACCAAAACAAGATTGTCCAACCGTCCAATCCAAACTCCTCCAGCAACTGCTCCCAAATCAGCCAACAAACACCACCAAAGCTCAAGAAGAATGATACAAATGGAGTGGAACTTGCGGAGAGACAAAAGAGATAAGGAGCCGAGACGAAAAAGGAGAAGCTCGCAAGCTTTCCTAGAGGAGAAGGAGAGTGGAACAAGCTCTCAAGCTTTTCCAAGAAGAACCCTCAGGTTTTTAGCAAATTTGCTCTCAATAATCAACTCTCCTTCCCTCTCAAAACATCTCATATTTATAGGCAAGAGAGGAGAAACCAAACAGCCCCAAAAACCCTTCATATTCTTAATTAAATGAGGGAAATGAAAAGCCAACATCCACTTTACTTCTTCCCCCAAATCTACACAAGAAACAAAGCACCACAAGCCACGGAAAAGCCCCCAACACCCATGGGAAAGCAGCCCAGCCAGGGACCCGAAGAGGCAACCGCATGAACCAAAGAGGCCCGCACGAAACCGAGGCACCAAAGACACGGGAAGACCACCCAGCACAGAAAACCAGCAGCCAACTGTGGAAACCAAGGGGCCAAGGCACGGAAAACAACCAACCGTGGAAACCAAGGAGCCAAGGCACGGAAAACAACCAACTATGGGAACCAAGGGGCCAAGGCACGGGATACAACTAACACAGGAAACCCATGAGACAAAGGCAGATTTTAAAGAAGAAAAGGGGAGGAGAAGGGACAAGATCACTCCAAAATGAATCCAACTTATGAACTTACCTTAGAACATTAATGAGCTATGTAGTTCTCCCATTGAATGAACTAAACTTTAGCTCATCATTAATGAGCTAGCAACTTAGCAATTAAGCTCAACTCCAATGAACCATCTCCTTCCAAACTTCACCATAAGCCCAAAATCGTGGACCATAAGCCAACCTGAGAACCAGCAGCAGCCAAAGACCAATCAAGCTAGCAAACCAAAGGTCTACCAAGCCCCAAGCACAACTTACCATGATCATTAGATGTCTTCCATCATTGGATAGCTAAAAAAGAAAAAAAAAATATATAAAAAACTATATTAACATACTAATGTTCAATATAAAATAAAAATATAAAATATTTGATAGCATCAACATGTAGCTGACATTGAAAGTCACAAGAGAGAATTTTCACTTCCACCTACCCAAAATCCTGGATCTATTGCTTTATTGCAAATCAAAAGGACGCCAACTCAACCCTACCCCATCAATGTTTGACATCGCACAGTTGCATCATTATTGTAAAATGCTATCGTGTTATCATTACAAAACTATAAATCAAGAACTGGGAAAAGATATAAAAACTCGATCATTGGTCATTCAAAGTTTACTTATTACGGCTCGTCTGCTTATGAAATTTCTGTCCCCTCCTATGATGTACAGATACGGACACGGCAACACGGATATGACACGGACATGGGACACATCAATTATTGAAAATATAGGACATGAACACGGGTTTGACACAGTATTATAGTTTTAATATTTTAAAAATAGTATTAAAAATTGAATAAGTATAATTTTAAAAATAATTTAAAATAATAAGTCATTTAACTAGAATTTGTGCTTAAAATGATTAATATTAGCATGTCGAGAGTTGGGCGTCGATGTCGTTTATCAGTCAACAAGATAGGAGATGATAATGTTGTCGAGAGTCGGGCATTGACGTTATGCAGTAAATATTAGGCGTCAATATTAAGAGGGCGATGATCATCAATGTTGAAAGAGTGTTGGTCGTCGATGTTGAGAAGGCGTTGGACAAAGATGAGATATCAAGATGTGGGAGTAGAAATTGCTAGCATCAAGCATCAATGCAAAAATAGCGTCAAACTTTGATATGAATATCATTTTGAAATATTGATGTTCTAACTACTTAAGATGTCGATATTGAAATGACATCAGACATTGTCGTGAAATCAAAATTGTAACCAAAGAGAAATGAAAATGAGAAAATTCGATGAATGGGGTATTAAGTGCAGACGATTGATTTAGTGTTGTGGATAAGAAATAAGAAATTCAGTTTTTATATTTTAAATAAGTAAAAATTTTAAGTACAAGAAATTATATTTTAAAAAAATCATAAAATAGTTAAGATACACGTGTATAACATACGTGTCCAATTTGTATTTAATATGCTTTTTAATTGGACAAGTTTTCAATGTATCCGACACATATCGGAGAAGTTTTGGACGTGTGTCGTGTCGGATATTGCATGCCTCTTTGAGAAGAAGTGTCGGTGCATCATAGGTCCCCTCTAAAGGGAATCTATAAGTAGTACTTTTTAATCTTCTATGTTTCTCTACTAAACACTCGGATGTGTGTGCTCTCTCTAGATCCTATAGGGAGAATGATTTTCGTAATAGACAGAAGGAAAATAAGCTTTCACTATGAGTTGATACCCCTTCGAGATCTTCCAGAGGTCATAACATTGTCATACTACATGCTGATCCCTTTGACCAGCATGGTGAGACCCGTCGTCCATCAACCCAATAGATCCCCTAATCTAAGTTATCAATAAGCATTCGAGAAACTTGAGTTGGGTTAGCCACCAAACATTCTTTTATATGTAACACTATTTGTGAGTCCAATTACCTTGGTTCATATCTTACTTTTATGTATAGGCCTTTGTAGTTCATTTGATTGCAATCTGTCAGATTTGATCTTGGACCAGTCTAGCCGGCCCAATTAGGATCGGTTCTGGTTTATAGAAGGCGGAACAGGAGGGTTCCGCCCTCCTCCTCCTTGCCACCCACCTTATGTGGGGTCCACAAGCTTGATTAAGGGGGGATTTGGGAGAAGATTTGAAGGGAAAATTCAAATAGCAAGGGTAGTTTTGGGTTTTTATCTAATTATTGTATTAAGAAGGCTTAAGGGAGGCTAGGGTTAGTTTTATCTCTAATTTTTAGCTGAAATTAGGGTTCTTATGTCCTTGAGCGGGCTCTAGCGACGTCTAGAGATTTGGGAGTGACTGATCTTCCTTTCCAATAGAAGATCCATTGTATCTTGCTATTTTTTTCATCTACTTTCAACAATAGCTCAATTTCTGGTTTTTCCTCCAAGATCTATACAATTTTTGTTTTTTCAAGTTGCTGGAATTAAATTGCAGCAAGGGAATTTCTGATTTTCTACAAACGTTCCCTAACACAATCATAATTTATAAACTTAAAGGGGCTAAGTAAGTAGCCCATTTTAATTGTAAATAAAGTCAGGCATCTTCGTCATTGTATACATGTAATGTGATGACTGAATAGAATATGAGTAAGTAGGTACATGATGTGACATCGATACAGCTAGCCTCCCATCACTAGTAGACTTCTTTTATGCTACTACCACCATCAGGTTATGTATGAATTCATGTATGTTGGAATGGTATATCGAAACATATGTTGATGGATATACAAGATGCTCCCAAGTTCCCATCACTATTGACTAGTTCTTGAGTGTTACATGTTTCTTTTATACTACCCCAACCATATTACCATGGGACCAATGGGCATGTTGCTGATCTGATACATCATCTATGTCAATTTTAAGGTTCAAAGCCCATATATTGTACAGTATTTAAGTTTCATAAATTATATATTAGCACGCATGCATGAATATTTTAGGTATGGAAAATTTTGGAATTGTTAAACTTTCAAGATAGATAACTAAAAGAGACATTCGAATTCTAAATTATAGAAAAATATGATATGGCATAATATAGATATTTCTATTAAAAAGATTTCTTTACAAGTTTATGGCCTATAAATAGCTCATTTTTAATTAAACTTGATGGTAGTGTGAGCAGGTACACAAAGTTGCAAAAGGAAAACATGTGCCTTTAAGCACTAAAAAATAAATATTAGTAAGATTTACAATGGTTAAAAAGAATATATGAACTTTAAAAAAAGGATATTGATGA